CTCCATGTGGTGAGTGGCTGCCATATTGGGCCATGCAACTCTTACAGCCTCTGAGTTGGGATCTAAATAGGCAGGGTCCAGGATTTACCCTACTCCTGCTTCAATCAGAACATGTCTGTCTTTCTCTGTTTTCAGGAATGTGCTTCCACAATGTTTCCCCAAACAAAGCGTTTCATAGCTAAAGAGCATTTGAAAACTACTAGACTAAATAATCTCCAAGGCTCTTAAATTTTGAAAGCTCTTAATCCGATGGTCTTAATTTGTACGTAGCAAGGACCAAACACTCTCCTGGGTATGGAGGAAAAATGAGACAGCCTACCCTACTGTCACACCTCATTTTGCCCAACATGGGGAAAGATGCTAATGCCGCTGATGTGGCCTCTAAACTGAAGAGGATCCCGGGTCCTTTGACAGGGCAAAGGCCTCCCACGATGGAGCTGCTCCATCCAACTTGCTACCCAGGGACTGCTCATGGCTCTTTGTGGCTTTTGCTGGTCCTACAGACTCAGACCATGGCAAGAAAAAGGATTCAGAGGACAGAAAAACTCTGCATGAAGTTAACTCTCTCAGCCTCTTAAGTTTCTATTTTCACATAGCTGGGAAGGAGGAGCTGAGGATTTCCCAAGTAGAAGATGCCAGAGCTCTGTCAAGCCACCCCAGGACACCCACTGCCATCAGCATGGGTTTGGGGGACTTTCACTCCTGGAGTCGGGGCTGGGCTGGTCATGGAGTGCTGTGTGCACCTGCACTTGGAGAAGGTGATCAAAGCAGAATCTGTGAGTACATGTAAATGGTGAGGTTTGGGGTGACTCTGTCAAGGTGTGAGCCCTGAGACAGGAGCTCAAAAAGGTCACCATCTATGAGTTAGGAGTCTCATCTGGATTTTTTAAGTATATTTGTGAGATGAGCAAAAAATGAGGTCCAGCTATGGACTCTGAGTACCAAACTGAGGGTTTTAGAGGAGAGGGGGGGTGGCGGGATGAATTAGCCTGGTGATGGGTATTTAAGGAGGGCACATATTGAATGGAGCACTGGGTGTTATATGCAAACAATGAATCATGGAACACTGCATCAAAAACTAATGATGTAATGCATGGTGACTAACATAACTTAATAAAATAAAATTTTAAAAAAAATGAGGTCCAGAACATTTCATATCCCAGAACATGCCTACAAAATAGCAAACCTCACAATATAGAGCTTGTCTCACAGAAGGTGCCAATATCTCTTCTCTATCTGTGACCAGCTCCTAAAGGGAAGAGAGGGAAAGATTACATAGTTCCTAGAGCACTCATGTAGTGAGGGCTTGTAGGAAAGGAATATTGAACTCCCTTACAGAGCTCACGCAGCTCCTTCAATTACACTTCCCCAGACTCCCTTCAAAGCTTTCTCTCCGACAAAGGTAAGTCATTACCAGTAACCTTCCAGAAACCTTTTGTAAGAAGAGATGGCTGTAATTTTCCATCTTCCTCAACCACGTTAAAACAAACAGTGGCGCCTGTTGAAGCTTAATTTAATACCCTAACCAAAGACTATGATTGAGAGAATCATATCATTGTACATATTCTTCCAACCCCACATTCTCACTTAGAGCAGAAACTTTCGACAAAAGCCTTGTCTTTGGCTGTGTGTTTGGGTGAGGGCTTTATAAAAACACAGAATGTGGCATTTTGGGGAGGACTTGCCACAGGAGTGTCATTTGCTGCAATTTTCTTAGCTTTATCACGTTTCTGGTCATCTCTTCTTATAGATCTAACATGTCACATCATTTTCACCAAGAAAACTAATTAGTGAAATACTGATTTTAAGGTACTATGTTACAATCACAAACATCTACCCTTCGTTCTTTCCAAGCCTCGGGTTTCCATCATCCAACACGGCCGCCCCCACCTCCGTCACACACACATCAAATAGACACCCTTTTCGGGCCCCTTGTTTCATCAGTGTCAATGTCCTTTGCATCCGTTACACAGCGAGAAAAGCTCTGAGACTTGCGAGATACCCTGTTGTCTGGTTTGACAGAGCACCCATAGCCTTGCCAACTGGTTTTCTACTCCTTTTATCCACCCACCAGTCACAGAGGGCTGTGGTGAATTCCCTAAGGATTCCTGTGGAAATAAAAGTAGGTCAGATGACCTGCCCCCACCCCACCCCCATTGATGCCAGGAACTATCCCTGCAGAGATTTCTATCAAGGCTCTTCCCCAAAACAGCTGCCCGCAATTGAGCATCCCCCCCCAACTACTGGGGCAAGTTCTGGACATGACACTTGTTCGGGGTTTGTCACCACTGAACTTTAGTCCCCAAAGTAACAACATCTTCATTCAGTTAACAAGCTACATCCAGAAAACTTCAGCAACTACAGTGATATTATTTTAAAGAAGTCTTCAGGAGGAAGCAGTTTCAATAACAAGGCTGTTCCTGCCCGTAGCTCTTTCGCCTATGAGTATCTCATGCCTCCTTCACCATTCTATCTCCCATGCCCCGCCCAGGCCCTGGCTCCCGGCTGGTGAATGAGTGAATGAATGAATCAGTGAATGAATCAATGAATGAATGAAGCTGAGCACAGATGAAAAGTAAGGCAACATTTTCAAATTAGACTTCGGAAAAAAAAATTAGCATAGCTCCTTTCCGCCCTTATCCTTAGGTTTTGGCCTGGGTCATATTTGAACTATTCAGAATTTCTTCTTGGAATGGGCTTCTCAAGTACAATAAAATAGGCATATTTTATCTATGGTGCCCCATGCTTTATGCTTATTCTTGAAGAACTGGATAATGCTGTTTTATTGTGTGTAAGGAGGTGACTGGGAAGGCCGTGTTTTGAGCCAGGGTTTCTCCAGAAAGGGAACACATATAGGCTCCTTTGCTCACTCAGTAGCTGTTCTGACAGTTTTGCAGGTATTCCTGTTGGTGGCTCAGTCCTAGGGGCCAGGCTTCTGATAGAGACATGCACAGTTAGGCTGTTGATCTTCATCTACTAATAGCTGTGCTGTCACATAGAAGGGGGACCTCCAGAATGCTCCTCTCTCTCAGCCCTGTATGAAACCCCACATGCCAAATCAAGGGTAGTGTATTCCACCTTAATTCTAAGTTCACTATTCCTCAAAGACAGAGGACAGTTGCCCAGTCTACCAGTCTACCAGAAAAAATACCAGACTGTGTAGGCACAAGGGCAGGTTGCCCCCAAATGGGCCACTTTGGCATATTGATTATTTTAAATGCAAGTTACTTAAGAGATAGCAAGTGCAAGCAGGACACTCAGACCCTCCTCTGTCCCCCAGGAAGCAGCACATAAACCTCCCATGGGAAAGGTACCCTCCCTGAACCAGGAGGTAAAGAATCAACCTTATCACCAGAGACAGGGAATATAAAACCCAGAATGCTGGATAAGCAACCTTTGTAACTTTTTACTAATTGATGACCCCAGCCCAAATTCTGTTTGGAATTCCTTAGCAGTTGAAGCTCCCAATGTTAACTTTTCTTTTTCTCATCAATTCCTCACAGATTTGTTGTCTCTTTGTCTAAAAAGTGTAAAAACTGTCTGCCTTGGTCATTCCCTTAGGACTCAGTTTCATTATTGGGCCTCCATACACACGTCATACAACTTTGTTTTTTATTCCTGTTAATCTGTCTCATGTAAATTTAATTCTAAGTCCAGGCAGAAGACCTTGAAGGGTAGAGGATGAATTTTTCCATCTCTTCAACTAATTTTAAGTCAAAATCTCTGCCAGAGCTTTCAAAAGCCTTGCGGTAATAATTACAGTCAAGTCCAGGGTCACTCTTTAGAGACTTTCTTTTGTAGTGTGAATATCTCTTGATTATGGGCTGTAGCCAAATGATTTTTCATCCTGTGGAGCTGAGTCACAATTAAGTAAAAGCAGTTTAGAACTAAAGGGTCCACATGGCTCATTACCTTTTCCTGTACCATAACCTCTGGTTTAATAAATTCAAGACTGTGCCTACTGTTGGACTGGTGGGGGGAGGGGGCGGGCGGGGGGAACACCTCTTTATGTCCCTTACTCACTGGAGCACTCTTCTGTCTCAAACTATACAAATAAACTCCTCAGAATCATCTCCCAGGATTTACTGAAATGATAAAAATGGAAGCAACTGAGATTTTAAAATGAAAGGAGAAATCTCAGGTTGAAAAACAGAAAACTTATTTTTTTTTCCCCAGTTCCATAAAAGTGCCTATATCCTCACAGGACTCAACAGAGGATCTTGCTTGATACCTGCCTGGAGTCACATGAAATTTATTTTCCTACTGTTCATAAAGAAGTGATGAATGATGAGCCAGAGAGTCACCACTCAGGAAGTCTATTCTTTATGACTATGACCTGCTTTTCTGAAAATGGACTCAGAGGAGTGAGTCTCATTCAAAATGCCTGAGAGGAAAAAGCAACGTAGCCTGATTATTGTGACCTAAAGGATTTGAGAGAGGGGGGCTTCATGACCAGAAGCAGAGGTAGGGGGAATTTGGGTTGACTATGAAGAAAAAGTAGTTAAGCAACAGAACATACAATTAAAAAAACAAAACCAGACCAAACCCAGCAAGCACATGCATGGAAAACTGGTTAGCAAGACAATATGATGGTGTACGGGTAATGATGCAAATATAGGCTAAAGAGTCTCCTCTCTGCAAGCCTGTGAGACAATTAGGATAGAGGCTCACAATCGAGAAAGGAAAAGAGCTGCAACAACTTGTAATTAAGAAAAACCAAACTGCTTGGTTTGTTATGCTTGGTTGGGGCTGTGGTTTGTTATTTTAACACTCACCACCACGGCATATGTTTTTCTACTTTGCCAAATGCCATCCCAACGATAAGATGTACACTGTTTTCAAAGAAGCCTATTGCTTGCCTTTTCCATGGATGCAATACTTCCTTTTATGATTATTCAGCTGCTTGGGACATGTGCAAATGTGATCACAACTACTGTAATACTTCCGAAGGCTTGACTGACTCACTGGGCACCCTGCGTGTTACAGGATGTTCCCTCAGCCTTCTTCCTCATGTAGTCTGTTCCCTCAATGAACTTCTGCTCCATTTTTTTCCACTACTCCATCCATGGTGTGGGGTAAGCAACTCTGAAGGGTGCCTGATGTAGACCCACCTTAGCCCAATGTACGGAGGAACAGAGATGGTAGCCATACTCTTCTATTGCACAAGGACAAGTGGGGAGACAAGGGGAATCTACGTGGAAGCCCAACAACTTAGCACAGAACATAATCAAGTCTGGAGCTGAGTGTCACAGCCAGAGGGAACTACAGCAACTCCGAAGAAGAGAGGGTAAGTAAGACTAACACTGACCAAGAATTGCTTCTGGGAATAAATGGAGGCAGAAGGGCACAGTGAGATTAAATGTATGATTTTGGAGCCAGTTAGATGACACTGATTGAGTTATTCAGAGTCTAAGCTTTGGTTCTTTCACTTACTTATTTTAAAAATAGAGAAGAAGATACCCATTCCACCACATGCATAAGCTCAGCATATTGTTTGGCATATGGCAATTACTCAAGAAAGGGGAAAATTATTCTTATGGAACTTTAGCTGGACCTAAAAATATAAGTAAAATTAGGATAGATGGATGGGGAAAGGCTCATATTCCAGGCAGAGAACTTGGAGAAAATATGATACACAGTTCTTACACATACATATGCTCAATTTGTACCCATGTATAGGGAAAAGAATTGTTACAAATGAAAAAAAAAGAAACCTTTAATTTTAACATACATTTTAATATAATAATTTTATATTTGTTAGAAAGTTGCAAAGGTATTAGGGAGGTTTCTCTGTACCCTTTATCCAGCTAAAACTACAATGGCAATCATATCGTAATATATAAATGTATTAAATCAATATGTTGTATACCTTAAACTTACACAATATTATATATCAAATATATTTCAATTAAAGAAAGAAAATATCAGACAAACACATATTGAGGAGCATTCTATGGACTGCCTGACCAGTACTCCTGAGAACCATCAAAGTAATGACAAAGACAGAAACTCCTTTTTAATGATCAAATGATTGGGGCAGCAAGAAGAGCATGTCCCTGTAGTGCTGAAAGGGTCCCTGCATCAATCTGTGACAAGGGCTGGTGAGTAGGTCAAGAGTCAGAGGTATTAGAGGAGAAGTAATTTAATTAAACACATTTACTATATTATCCTATACTATGTCCACCCTAAATCGAGATAATGTACAAAATTGGCACAAAAGAATAGAAACTCTGAGGTGATTCTCCCTATTCATGGAACACCCAAGATAAATGCCTCCTTGATCCTATTACCCAAAGTTCCCCATTGTGACAAAACCAAGAAGATTCCTACATACATAGATAAGTATGTTCTATTTCTGAGGCAAAATCTTAGAGTTTCTTGAGAAAACTAACTGGTCCTTGTTAAATCATTTCTTCACTCCTTATTTTAATACAAAATTTACTGATTATTTACTATATACCAAATGTGTGCTAGGAATACAGTAGTGGGAACACCATGTTTCTTCCTTTATCTTTTAGAGTCTAATTGACTACAGATGTAAGTTAAATAATTACACAAATATACATTTATGAATTGTGAAAGAGCCCACGACAGACAAATTACATAGAGAGCTAAGAACATGAATGGGGTTTGACTTGGTCAGGGAAGTGAGGAAGAATTTCTATGAAGAAGTGACCTCTGGTAGGAGAGCTGAAGGATTCAGAGGATTTCAATGGGGAATGGGGGAAAGTGGTCCAGACTGAGAAAAGTATAAGTGCAGAGGTTCAGAGGCAGAAGAGCACCGGAATGGTCCAAGAAACTGAAAGATGGCCATGGCCAGGGTGGAGACGCCCAAGGAATCAGGCTGTGAGGTGAAGTTAAAGATGTGCACAGGGACTAGTATTAAAGACTTGTAACTTTCCTAAAAGCAATGGGAAGCCGTTTAAGTATTTTAAGATCTCCCAGGCTTGGTGGGGAGAATGAACTGAAGAGAAGACTAAAAATGTGGAAACCAAAGTTTCAGGAGTCCTGGGGAGCGATGATGGTAGCCTGACAGAAGGTGACAGTGCTGAAGATGATCAGAGGTGAGCAGACTTGAGGAGGCAAAATCAGAAAGGCATAAGGATAGACTGGCTATTGGAGGTGAACAAGAAGGTGGCAAGACAAACAAATGTGACAAATGACCTGAGGAATTGGTCAAGGGAAAGATAACACAAGATTTTTCCTTGAGAACAATAAAGAAAAGCAAGGAAAGGGAATCTGTCATTTAAAGGGCATTTATTGGCTTCTTCCGCTCTAAAGTGCTTAGAAAGGGCTGGAGTGTCCCAGGAGACAGAAAGAAGGCTGGCCATGAGGATATTGGGGCCTGTCCACCAGTAAGGCAGAGGAACACGTAACAGAGCAGCGCCCTGGGGTCTGAGAGTTGACCACTGGAAGTGTTCGGAGCGGACAACACATGGCAGAGTAAGGTCACAAGCTGGTTTGTGGCTCTCAGAGCAGGAACGTCCCTTCTCCACCTAGCCCTATACTCACATTGTCCTTCAAGAGAGAGGAGCCACTGGAAGCTCCTTGGCACCTGTTAACAATTAGATACATTTTAAAAAATGTACCTACAAGTTTCCTAAGGCACCGAGTTGGAAACATTTGCCAAGTGGATGAGGATTTCCCCCAGGTCATTAAGAACATCTTCACGGGGCACCTGGGTAGCTTAGTAGGTTAAGCATCTGACTCCTGGTTTCAGCTCAGGTCATCATCTCATGGGTCCTGAGATACAGCCCCGTGTTGGGCTCTGAGCTCAGCGGGGAGTCTGCTTGAAGATTCTCTCCCTCTGCTCTTCCCCCTCTCACCCTGCACTCTCTCTCTCTCAAATAAAGAAATAAACCTTTTTTTAAAAACGAGCATCTTCAGGACATGACCATATTTTGTGTATCTCTGCATCCATAGCGTCAAGCATGATTGAGTGAATCAATGCAGTTCTAGTTCTAGGTCAGAGTAATAAGTGCACTGCAAAAGACCTCAGGCAAGAAATTAATCAGTAGATGAACTTGGTAAAATTGAAAGTACCTTTCATTAATGTTTGTGTGTGGGTGTGTGCGACACCCTAGAAGTCTGGTGACCTCAATTCAGAAGGCTAGATTCAACCCTCTTTCCATATCCTGCTTATTTTCCTCTGAGCTGGAATAAAGCATTGAAGAAGAGCCAAGGACTAACTCCCAGAGTTTTACGGCCAGGTCTGGAGCCACGTGGCAAACCAACTGGGGAGAATAGGTTCATCTCCCTCATCTGTCCTCCAACGGAGACTTAGATTCTAAATGTGGGTGCCTCAAATTTCCAGACAACCCCATGGAAAGTGCTCCCTACAAATAACTCAGGTCTCTGGAGGCACAGTTTATATGAGGATGAAGTGTTATTCTCCCAAGTCTGGTCTCTCCCCTCCAGCTGCATATCTTATGACTCTTTGCCATCCTTCATTTTGAGTATTTTTGTTCACTTGTCAGCATTCTCTTTCCTCAGTCAGTAGAACCACGTGATGCACATAAGTACACATTTATTTAAAAATCCACATGATCAGAAATGCAAATTAAAACAGCACTGAAAATGTTTTTTGCAAATCAAATTAGCACAGTTTTTTTTTTCTATGTTAATATTCAACGTTATCAAGTTCCTAAGGAAATGGGTACTGTCTTAACACTGCTGGCAAGGATATAAATAGCTCAACCTTTCTGGAAGGTAATAGAGCAATTTTATCCTATGTCTTGAAAATATGCGTATCATTTGACCTGACACACACTGTCTACGCTGAGTCACTCAATTTAATGCTTCCAGTCATTTTGTGAGGTGGTTATTAGTATTGTTGTCCTCCTTCACCAATGGAAAAACTAAAACTCATAAAGGGTAACTCGGTAAGGTTACATGGTAAATATGTGGCCAGAAAGCGACACAGATGCAGGTCTCAAATGGGATGCTTAAATATCAAATGACATGAAAGTCTGTGTTCTTACTTTTAACTCAAGAATTTTCATCAAAGCTTTACTTTATAAAATAGGGAAAAATTGAAAGCAACCTGAATGTCTGACAATAGAGAACTGACTGTACAAGTTACAGTGTAACCACTCAGTACAAACTGTATGTTTTTCAAAATGACACTGTAGAAGATCTAATGATGTAGAAATATGTCCATAATACACAATTTAGCGTACTACATAATGGACAATATAATCTCAACCTTATAGAAATAATTGCATTTATATGCATAGAAGAAAATCAGAAGACTATATATCAAAACAATAATAATCTCATACTGCTGGAATTTTGAGACTGTTGCCTTCATCCTCGTCTGCATTTTCTATAATGTACATGTATTTTTGAGTAAGAAAAAAATTACTAAAAAGGTTTTAAAAGTCTGTTTCCCTACCTTTAGCCTGGATGGACTGTATAAAAAAAAAAAATCAATAAACCTCCACTTAAGTCTCTGCCACCTGCCTGGCAAGTAAGCTGTTAGGGGACAGTTCCCTTACTTCTTGCTGTTAATGCTGTTGGGCCCATGTTATAAATAAAACAGCTGGCTTTCAGAGATATTACATAACCTGGCAAAGATCATACAGCTAACCAAGGATTCTAACCTTCTGTCTCGATCCAGAGCCTTAGTGCAGCGGCTGAGAGCAAGTGTCTAATGCCGGTGGGCTTGGGTTCTGATGGTGACTGAGCTCCTTGCTAGCTTCGTAGTTCAGTTGCCTTTTATGTAAACTTGGACAATAATGGTGTCTACGATATAATGATGAGGATTCAATGAGTTAATTAGGAGCAGTGCTTAGAACAACATGTGGCACGGAGCATCCTGAAGTGCTAGTGTTAGAACAAGGGCTAATTAGGACTTGTGGATGCTGGGCGGGTACCATGGAGTGCTTGAAGGAACATGGAACCAAATACACCTGGAACTGCCATCAGTTTCGGCCACTTGACTGGTGACCTTGCGCAAGCTGCCTGGTCTCTCCAGTCCCCTACTTCACCATCTCTTGTGTGGAGTGCCCCATTCATGATAACTGCTAATGATAGCAATTGTCCCAGTCCTTCTAGCAGCCCGTCCCTCCTCTTCTCCCATGCCGTGTGACGCAGCAGTCACCCGTGAGGAGGTGAGGAAGCCCCTTTTACCCTTCCGCTCAGGCTGCAGCCCCGAACCCCCACCCCCGCCCGCACTGAAGGCCTGCTGCTGAGCTCCATCTGGGGAAGCTTGTATACAGTGATGGATGCGCCGTGTTCCCGATCTTTTTCAGGAGAGGGATTCTGTTCCGATTCTGAAGCAGGAAA